AAAAAAAAAAAAAAAAAAAAAAAAAAAGATGTGCTGCGCCTCCCCTTGCCTTTCCATCCACCCCTCCACCCTCACCCTATCTGTACTCTAACAATACTGAAACATCTACAATGTGAATGAACTTTGAAGACATGGTAAGTAAGTCACAAAAGGCCTTATACTGTATGATTCCATTTCATGAAATGTCTGGAACAGGTACTTCTATTAGAGACAGAAAGTAGATGACTGGCTGCCTAGGACTCGGAGGGGTTTGGGGAAGAGATCAACTGCTAATGACAACAGGGTTTGGGCCAGGCGCGGTGGCTCACGCCTATAATCCCAGCACTTTGGAAGGCAGAGGTGAGAGGATTGCCTGAGCCTCCGGGTTCGAGACCAGCCTGGGCAACTTAGAGAGACCTCATCTCTGCAATAAATAAGTAGGTTCATTTTAAAAAGGAGAGAATAAGGTTTCTTTTGGGCGTGATGAAAATGCTGTAAAATTGTGATGGTTATACAACTCTGAATACCCTAAAAACCACTGAGTTATACACTTTATATTGGTGAATTATGCGTGGACACCATGGCTCATGCCTATAATTCCAACACTTTGGGAAACGGAGGTGGGAGGATTGTTTGAGCCCTGAGGTTCGAGATCAGGCTGTACAACATAGAGAACTTGTCTCGACAGAAAATTAGCCAGGCGTAATTGCACATGCCTGTAGTCCCAGCTACTTGGGAGGCTGAGGCAGAAGGATGGCCTGAGCCCAGGAGGTTGAGGCTGTGGTGAGCTGTGATCGTGCTACTGCACTCTAGCCTGAACAACAGAGTAAGACCTTGACTCAAAAGATAACTAAATAAATAATTGTATAATGTTTAAGTTATGTCTTAATAACACAGTTTTTAAAAAAAATAAACAAATAAACAAGACAAAACAATTCTCTAGCTCACAAATCTGTCTGGGCAGGGCTCAGTGGGGAAGCCTCATCTGTTCCCCAGGGTCTGAGAAGTGATATTATAGCTGGAAGTTAGAGTTCCCCGAAGACATTCTCTCATATCTGGCAGTTGCTGCTGACTGTCACCTGGAATACATGTGACCTTCATGTGGCCAGGGTGGGGGACGTCCTTACAGCCTGGCAGCTGGCCTCCAAGGGTGAGCATCCCAAGGAAGCTAGGCAGAAGCGCTTTTATGCCCCAGCTTTGGAAGTCCATTTGCGTTGCTCTTGTGTCCTGGGAGGGGAAGTCAAAGTTATGTTGTGAAAAGAGGAGGTGAGAGATTGGTTGGTCATCTTTGGAAAACAAACTCTGTCACCGGGAACAACAGTCCTGAGTGGTCATGTCAAGAGGAGCAGTCCCAGAACCTGCTGGGAGGCTTTCTTGAGTGTCCCAATCAGGGATGCATTCTCTGCTCTGCCATGTCCCATCTGTTAGAATCTTCCAGATACTTTATCTCAGACACGCTGGATGGTCACTTGAATTCAGCCATTTCATACCCAAAGAGCTTCTTCAAGAGACAATTTCAAAATATCATGCTGCCCACCATAAATACTACATGTATGGTTTTTGTCAATTTAAAAATGAGAAAAACAAGAAGAGAAAAAAAGACCAAAAGGAACACAGATGGATTTGGAACACATCAAACATATTTAACCATCCTCAAACTTAGGAAACCAGTCCTTTGTGTGCAAAAGACTGGAGCATGAGGGGGTTTAGATTTTGTATGTGGGAATCCATGAGGAAGGGAGCAACAGAAGCTAAGGGCTGGAGGGCAGACCCTGGGCTGACCTACCTGCTTCCTTGCCATTCTGGCTGGCTGTTTCTAGTGTTGGGGATGATTGACATTGCCAGGGGCTCACATTTCCATTCTGAATAAATATATTTCAGAAGCAACAGGAAAGACTGGGTGCCGTGGCTCATGCCCGTAATCTTAGCACTTTGGGAGACTGTGGTGGGAGGACCACTTGGAGGCCAAGAGTTCAAGACCAGCAACATAGCAATTTCTTGTGTTTACCCTCCCCTGCAAAAAAGAAAAAACAACAGGAAGTTAAGAGTGAGTGTCAGCCAGGCTCGGTGGCTCAGCCTGTAATCCCGTACCTTTGGGAGGCTGAGGTGAGTGGATTGCCTCAGCCCGCGGGTTCGAGACCCGCCTGGGCAACTTGGCGAGACCTCATCTCCACAATAAATCAAAAATTAGCCAGGCGTGGTAGTGCGTGCCTGTAGTTCCAGCTACTCGGAAGGCTGAGGCGGAAGGATTGCCGGAGCCCAGCAGGTCGAGGCTGCGGTGGCCGGGAGCGGCCACTACACTCCAGTCTGGGTGACAGAGTGAGACTCCAACTCAAAAAAAAAAAACACAAAACAGTGAGTGTCATGGCCATTACCTTGCTAAGCTATTAAGCTATGGTCTGACTATGTAGCTCCTTGAACTACAGCCATCATGTTTCCTGGCTTTAGCCTTCTCCCCTACCTTGGGGAGGGAAATCTCTTCTTTCTCTCTCTCTCTCATTTACTTTCTAAATAAACTACATTTTCCAATCTGAAAAAAAAAAAAAAAGATTGAGTTTCAGGTTCATAACTGCTTATGAGCAAATACATTTCTCCTCCATGGATTTTTAGATTAGTTTTGTGTGTGTTTTTTTTTTTGAGTCAGAGTCTCTCTGTTGCCCAGGCTGCTGTGCAGTGGCACACTCACAGCCACCACAGCCTCGACCTGCTGGGCTCAAGTGATCCTTCTGCCTCAGCCTTCCAGATAACAGAACAACAGGTGTGTGCTACCATCCCGGTTTAGTTTTTAATTTATGGTAGAGATGAGGTCTCACCAAGTTGCCCAGGCTGAGCTCAGGCAATCCTCTTGCCTAGGCCTCCCAAAGTGCTGGGATTACAGGCTTGAGCCACTGCGCCCAGTCTGAATTTTTAGTTTAATAAGGCTATTTTCACTAGGACATTGGGTCCCACCAAAATTTGTAAGTGTATGTCCACTTTAGAAACAAATTTCTATCCTCAGTGTTGAACTTTATAACTGAATTTGAAATAGCATTCAGAATAGTGTCAAATGCTTCACCTTAGACAAAGTAAACTTCCGAAAGCTGTACTTTGATTCCATGGATGAGAAAAAAGTGTAATTATTATTGAAATTAATTGATTTTTCTGGTGTGTGTGTGTGTGTGTGTGTGTGTTTTTTCTGAGACACGGTTTCTCTCTCTATTGCCCAGACTGGAGTGCAGCGGTGCAATCATAGTCTGCTGCAGCCTTGAACTCCTGGGCTCAAGAGATCCTTTTGCCTCAGCCCCCCGAGTAGCTGAGACTACAGGAGCACACCACCATACCTCATTTTTTTTTTTTTTTTTGAGTTGGGAGTCTCACTCTTGTCGCCCAGGCTGGAGCGCAATGGCACACTCACGGCCACTGCAGCCTCGACCTGCTAGGTAATTTTAAAATTTTTTGTAGAAAGAGAGTTTCACTATGTTGCCCAGGCTGATCTCAAACTCCTGACCTCAGGCGATCCTCCTGCCTCTGCCTCCCAAAGTGCTGGGATTACAGGCATAAACCACCACAGCCAGCCCAAATTAACAGATTTTCTTATTTGAGTCAGTGAGCTGGCAGTGGGGCTGAGTCAGAGTGGGAAGTGGCATGGATTCTCTAATTGTGAGATAGGGATTCTCTGTTGCTTTCCCAGGGACTAGCACAGACCTAGGTCCCTGGATTTCCATGGACTTTACTGAGTTCCTTCTCTTCCTTGGATATCGTCATGATTCTCTGGGTAGGACTTTTTGGGCCTGGAATGTAGATTCCCTGAGCTTCTGCCAGGTCTGCAGGACTGTGTCTGCCCCTGGGAGGAGCTCACCTCCTGCCTGCAGTAGATGAACCTTGGGTTGGGACTTGGGGAGCCTGGAACTTGGTGCTGCTGGTTTTGTCACCTTGGCAAAATGAGTCCAAGTTGTGTAAACTCTTGACAGTAAGATTGTCATCAATGTCTCAAGTCATAGTTGAGTGACTGCTGGAGCAGCCTTCTTCCCATTTTTACTTTTTTTTTTGTTGCCCAGGCTGGAGTGCAGTGGCATGATCATGACAATCATGGCTCACAGCAGCTTTGACCTCCTGGGCTCAGGCAATTCTTCCTCCTCAGCATCCCAAATAGCTGGGACTACAACTGTGTGCCACTGCTCAGCTAATTTTTTTTTTGGTAGTGACAAGGCTTCACTATGTTGCCCAGGCTGGCCTTGAACTCTTGAGTTCAAGCAATCCTCTCACCTTGGCCTCCCAAAGTGCTGGGTTTACAGGTGTGAGCCACCGCCCCTGGTCTATTTTTACTTTTTAAATTTTGAAAAATGTATCAGTGATACAAGCCCATGGTTAAAAGCCACCACTTTCCAAGGCCCATTCCTCAAACTTTAACAACTTTTTTTTGGTTGGGCATGGTGGCTCAGGCTGTAATCCCAGCACTTTGGGAGGCCAAGGTGAGTGG